AGGGGTGTTCTGTGGTTCACAGAGTAGAGTTGGGCAGGACTGATAACACTGCTTGGAATAAGACTGCAGAGTACTAGATTTCTGGCAGGATTAAATTAACAGGCCTTTTTGCACTCCTGGGCATCCCTAGACGTGGTGTCACCCAGGGTGGCCGTAATGACGTCACACGTGCTTACCTGCCAGCGGCCATCTTGGTAATGGAGAGGAGGAGAGGTTCACCCAACGTAATATCTTATCCCCTCCTCTCATGCAATGTCGGGCTTTCGGTCCATAACCAACTGCCCGGCTTTCCAGAGGGGGGTGACACCAAAAAGACTGTCAGTCATTTTGGTGTCACCCCTTGTGATGGTGTCACCCAGTGCGGGCTGCACCTCCGCACACCCCTTGTGATGCCACTGTTTGCACTTATCAAATACAACAAAATGCTCTCAATGGTACATTTATCAAAGCAAAATGGAGCAACTTAGAAAAGCCCTTTAAAGAAGAACTCTGGGCAAGTAAATCCTTAACACTTGCATTGGGACTACCCCCACAGAGCAAGAGTTTAGTGCTTGTTTTTCCTAGGAAGCCAAAAAAACAGAGATATGCTCACTCGAACAGCGATCCCGGCTGGCTCCTAGACCGGTCCATTCAGCCTTGCTCCCCCTCTGCTACAGCGATGGAATGCTGGTGTCCTTATGACCTATATACTGTATAGGATGTAATAACTGACGGGATCTTACACCACTGGAACAGAGGGGAAGCATAGGTTTGACCAGAGTTGAGACCAGTCTAGAAGTCAACCGGGATTGCGGTTCGGGTGAGTATATCTCTGTTATTTTAGCTCCCTAGCCAAAACGAGCGGGGGGTAGCCCCAATGCAAGTGTTAAGGTTTTATTTGCCCGGAGTTCTTGTTTAAGCATACCGCATTGCTCCTTCATTTGAACACAGGCAGAGTTCTTTTTTTTGTGTTAAGTACCCATTGTATTATGTAATCGCTTGTAACACTTTTATCAATATCACGCTTGATAAATCCATTGAATAGAGTATGTTAAGGGGGATTTTCCAGGATAAAGTAATTTTTAAGCACTTCACTACTCACTTTAAGGCTGAGAACCAACATTTCAGATCTTAATATAAGATGAGTATCAGCCAATCAGATACAATAGCATCTCATCAATCAAAAATTATGTGCACTGACACATCAGCAGTCAACTTTTTTTGTTTTGACCACTATAAGGTGAAATGTGCTGGACTGCTGTAGACTACTGGACTTTTCGCATTCCTTGTGCCCTGTGCATTGCCTTAATGAATAAGCCAGTATGCATGCTATATCTAAAACATGTGAATGAGTGCTGTATCTGAACAAATGTAAGCTAGAGTGGGACGGAAGTGACATCTTAAACAGCTGACAAATATATCCTGTAAAACCCCTTTAAGTACAAAAACTTATACCACATTTGGACACAGTGCATGTAAAATGCATGTTTTCAAGTCTAAAAAACAAGGCATGTATAGATGTTCTTTGTCATCCACATT